ACTACACTTGATCTTAGCCAAAAGGCCGAGAAGCGACGTTCTGCAACAACTCCGAAGCAAAAGCTGACTTGCACCCCGGACAGCCTCTGTTACCCCCTAGCTAGTGGGGTTTTTTGGCCATGCCTTTGATCCCTCTCTGCAAAAGGCTTCCACCAGGCAGCACGGGCGGATCGGGAGACTGCCGGTCCCAGATTGCGAGGCCGGGCTGAGAACAGCTGCGGCCATTGGGGTCAGGGTCGGAGCGCGTCAGCGTGCCAGCGCGAAGCACGCGCGGGAGCTGCCAGGTCCAAAAGCAAACAGGCTCCTCCGTATCAGCTTTTTTCCTCCCCTGCTCTCTGGCAGCCTGCCTAGCGCACAGCCTGGGTTCAGCCAGAACGCTTTCACAGCAGCAGAGTGCAGGCACCTTTTTTTTTTTTTTTTTCCAAAGCACTTGGCAAGAAGCAGGCGGGCCAGCGAGGTAGGCAGTAAAACCCCGTTAACTTCACTGGGAAGAGTTCAGCTAATCCTACAGGCTTTGGTACTTATATCCTTAAGAGTGATTCACTGCCACAGACGCAGAGGGGCAGAACGCGACCTGGAAGAAGATCGGCGTCCTGAACTTTTGTGCTTTATCTTGACCCATTTTAGACAGCAGACTTTGGAACAGCCCCAGTTCAACAACAGCTCCACTTGCAGCTCGCTCTGTCTACAGTTTCAGGGTTGAGCCTGCATATTATTCTCCTGCTTTTCATTACTCAGCAGAGGCTGAAGCCAATTAATGCCAAAAACATCCAAGCCACACAGGCAACAGAGTCCAGAGCCCTCGCCTTTTGCCAGTAGGAAACTCTGACGACTCGGAACTGGCAGGAAGATTGGGCAGCGTTAGCTGCAGACTTGGGCCTGTTGTGGTAGGAATTTGTTACCTCAAAAGGTAAACATGACTTCAGTTGAGTATTCCTGACAAGTGCTGGCTTGCTAAGAAACTAAAGGCCAAGCAAACTGACCGAGATTCTTCTCTGACACCAGGCTTGCTCGCCCAGCAGGGCATCCGCTGCTCATCAGCTCTCTTCCAGAGAGAAGCAGCTGACTGGACGTGCTGAAATTCTCCAGGCTCCCAGCTACATGAAGGAGAAAACACAGAACCAAGCCTCAGAACAAAGGCACCGAAGAGCTGTTTTCAGCAGCGGGCTACGAGCCTTTGCAAAACAGCGTGATGCATCACGGCGGAGCGTGGTACGATGCTGCTGGTGAAGGAAGGACTGGCAGAAACAAGAAGGACCTGCCATGAACCCTGGTTTAAATGAAGAAAAGCACCAATCGCATAAATTATCGTGCCTTTGGTTGCTTTGTTTTCATGTATAACTGAGCTCTCCTCACCAACAGGTTCAAGCATCCTTGAGCGGGCAGCTGCCTCTTCCAAGCGCAGAGCAAACAGAGTCCCGGCCCTCCACCCCCTGGGCAAACATTCCTGCTGCCGACAGCGAGACCCCAAGATGCCCCTGGGTTTAGAGCCCCAGCTCTATAAATTGCTCTAGCCCAATAAATTTCTCTATTATTGGGCAATAACAAATTCAGGGCTAACCACCACCCCCCAAAAGCTTGCCCGCTGGAAACTTGAACTTTTTGTTACTCCATAAGGGCTACTTCCTTACCCGCTCTCGGGAAGCGTTAGCTGCAATCAGTGCAAAGCTCAAGGGAAAAATAAAGGCAGGCATACATGCACTGCAAAGGGAAAAAAAAAAAAGCTCAATTTCCAAAGACGAAAATTTTTCCCCAAAGCCCACTTGCTTCAAAAAGGCTTTTCCATCCTCACTGACAGCAGAGCGGTGGGAGCCGGCTCTGGCCAACATCAAGCCGGCGGCCTCCTTCAGCTATTTCACAGAAGAACGTTGGTACAGGCAATCCTCCTACTGCGTGCTGCTGTTTGTTTTAACGCTTCCCACCGAATGTCAGCGGAGACTCAAGAACGACAAGTACACGAAGATACCCACAATAAATGCCAGCCCTTGTTAGCTGAGTAAATTGTGTGCTTAGCTGAGTCTTAGAGGAATCTTTGCAGAGTAAACACCGCCAGTACCATGTGCGAGAGTAAATATGTGAAGAAGACGCAAAGACACGAAGAACGACTTCAGAGGAATGCGATTGCGCGGCACCGAACGCAGCTCTGCGGATGGAAAAGCGTTGCTAGACCTGGGCTAGGACACTGAGCTTGCTGAGCACGCTGAGCTCCTCCTGCCATGGCTGCCGCACGAGTCCCCGTGTCCTCTCCTCCCCCAAGCTAACAGGCTTCAGGAGAGGAGCCCGAGTCCTCGTGCACGTTCCGCGTCTTTCCAAACGTGCACCCGGGGCAGCTTGCAAAGCTCGTTCTCACTCATTAGGTTTCAGTCTTTAAAAGTTATCTACGGTGCCCATCACAGGAGGCAATAATAGCATTTGAGTAATTAAAGATGTAATTAATTAAGATAGGGAGGTGCAGTATGGTTGTGTTGGCCGGAGAGGCGCGATGACTAGTCAAGACTTCAAGCCGGGAAGAGCCGCCCAGCCTTCACCCTACCCTTAAATTCTGCTCCGAGGCGCGAGGCAGCGCGGTTAGCGCAGCGGCAGAGCTCGAGGGCAGCCGAGGCACGCGAAGAGCAAGTCACGGACCCGAGACAAGCTGTTACCACAGTGCCACCTTCCTCACAGCACCCGCAAGGACAGGTATCCTCAGCGAGGCCTCATATTTGTGCTTTTGATTAACCTTTTTAATAGGACAAAGCGGCCGCAGCAACTGTTTTCTTTGCGCTTCACAGCTTTCTCCTTCAAAACAAGACATTTCTGAGCAAAGCTCTTGCAAAACGTTGTGCGTCAAAATACAGACCTTGGCAAGGACCGAGAAATAAACACTTTGGCCACGCATCCTTTGCCGCCAGTGATATAAAAACCAGCGTTTTGAGAGCTAATTCAGAACGCCTCACGTCATTTCTGAAGCAGCCCAAACGAAGCCATATTCCGTAGCTAAATATTTTCCTTCACGAAGTTCTGAACACCAGTTTCTCAGGTCCCCCTCCCAGGTTCCCCCAGTAACACTTTCAACACGACTTACGCTGATGACGGGATGACTGGATTCAAATCAAAGCGATAACACGTTTGACAGCTTGCTCGGCATTAATAGTAGATTAATTATTTTAGTGCATGTGAAGGAGTTCATTCAAATGCCAGAAATTGGAGCCCGGGCCTTATTTAAGTTTCTTGCATCGGTATTTCTGTTGGCTGCCCTTCCTATCCTTATCCTCCCCCAGGGTAGCAGCAAAGGCAGGAAGGTGGGTGGCAGCGGGGAACCCCCGTCGCAGGGTAGGGATATCCCAAGGCTCCGCAGCGGCGAGGAAAGGAGGAATTCCCTGCCCCATGGCCAGGGCAAAGCCAACCTCCGCGCAGGGCAGAGGAATGGGGCTCCAGCCCGGCCCCTGACGGTAATTTCACACCATCTAGCGGCATCTGCTCACCGTGCAGCTGCGGCGCTGCCGCTTCCCTCTACTCCATCAGCAGGCAGCGTGGGCTTTGCCCGTCGAGCTCAAGTTCACAGAAGCCGCTTTTAAACCCACACATTCCTTCAGGCCGGTTTTTCCCCTCGTTGGGTTTTCTTCCCTTTGCCACTTACGAGCTACATTCTAAGACGCCGCGTTTAACTAATCAGTCGGGCGGTAAATAAAAGCAAACCTGTACGTCGGTCAGCATCCTGAACACGCGTTTAACAAACGCACGCCTGCCGCGCGGAGCTTGCAGCTTTTTGAAGTCTTGTTTCCCAGCCCAAGGCGGAAAGCCTCTGAAACCATTAAGCGGCACTGCCTGCTGGAGACAAAAGAATAACAACGCGCGTTCTCGGTGATAACCATCAAGCCTGCTCCTAGCTAGGTGACCGCTAAGACTACCGCAGAGGACGGTGGTAGCGCTAGCCATTGCTGCTGCTCTGCGGCTTTCTGCTCCAGCTGCGGGCCTACGAGACCTGTGGAAAAGATGGTGTTTCTTTAGAAAATAAGCCTTTTCATGCACCACCTGAAAAGAGATTTGTTTATACCAGCTGTGAACAGGCACTCAGATTGGTCACTTTTTTCCCTTAAAAAATATGTTAAAAAATGTTTAAAAAATCCCCTAGGCTTTACGAAAAATGTTTTTTAAACTACTTAGTAAGAAAAACTTTTTCTTATGCTGGAAAAAGCTCAAAGCTTCAGCTTATTTTAACGAGGCAGCCACTCACTCAAGATGGAACCAACTGCCCATGAAAGTAATTTGCAGACATGAAGATAATGCTGCCCAAAACAAATCGTGGGATCCAAGCAGATCCCTTGGTTTAAACTTCACAAGCATCCCAAAAGGCGCATTCGTTCACAGCTCTTCGCACAAGACACGGTCAAGACGCTGCGGCGCTTACCTTGGTTTCTGTAACTTAGCATACCCCTAAGTAACAAGAACACAGTCTGTAAGAGCCACTGAATAAAAGTTTTATTTTAACATGTTTGCAGAGCCACACATACAAAGTTCTCACCATATCTGTGAGCAAATCACCCTTTTACCCCATATCTACAGATGTAAAACATGTAATTACTCGCACTAGAAAATAAAGTAGGTCTGATGTCAAGTCACCATTATTCATATCAATATTCTTGCTTCATCGCTATGAAGGTTTGAATATTGAAATGTTTTCACGGGCTGATTTACATATTAAATAGTCAAAGGTAATTCTTCAAGAAGAAATCCAGATTACTAAGCTGTTACTAGTTATAATAAAATATGAAATGGCATAGAAACACTCTTAAAGTGCGTTACTGCATCTAAATAAATAGCAGCATTTATGCCTCTTCAAAACAGAGGATCTGACAAGGAAGGGAGAGTGACCAGAAGTATTTTGCACTATAAAAAGAAAAAGCTGAAAAAAAATGCAAGGCAAAAGCCTTGTGTCATTAGTCTATAAAGATACAGCTTAATAACAAGGGCTTCATACATACAAGACAGAAAGTGTTCTTCAAAAGTCCAGAGGACACAATGGCAGAACCCCCCTACATCTACTGAAAATATACACACCTACACACACGCTTCTTTGGGATCGCAAGAATTACCTCCCATTTAACCATTGCCTAGCACAGGCCATTATAAAAATATAGGCCTGTAGTGATAACAAAGCAGTTTTTATCAAGTTTATCATTGGCAGCAGATATATTACATCAGTCTGATAAAATCAAGAGGATTCCAGCACAGCGGTACGTTAAGTTCATGGCTTTCTTCGCCTAAAAAAAAAGGAAAGAAAAAAGCCAAAACAACTTTCAGATTTTACACAGCAGCAGTTCTCCTTAACAGCAGGCAACAGCCTATTTACCTATTCTGCTGTACAGGTGAGTCTCACATCCCTCTTATGCTAAGAAATGCGACAATTAACACAAGGAAACTAAAGAGCTTATTTATCAAGGAACACTTGTATTTTGCTTCCTTTTTTAGGCAGCTGGAAGCATAAAGCAAAGTTTTATTTAAATTATTTAATAAGTCAAAAATAATACAAGCTCCAACTCAATACACAGGCAAAGTAAAGGATTTACTACAACATTACAAGGCTGTAGCAAGTAGCTGTAGCCACCCTGCGCAGGTCCCAGTTTCCAGTAAGAGATGTAATAAAGCATGTGCTAACCCGATGAGAGGCACCTATTTGTCACCTTATCTGACAGAGGGCTTACTGATTTCAGACACTCTCCAAAATACCCTTCCACCGTAGTTCTAAACTTTTGGGATTCCAGTAAGTTTAACCCATCTTGGCTTCATACAAACCTCTTTACCTCTCCCGCCCTCTCTCCTGCCTGTAAACCCGTCTTGCAAAACTGCAAGTTTTCTTCCCCTGAGCTGAAGGGGTGACTCCAGCACCTAGCTGCAAGAGGCCAAGTCTGGATATTGAATTCCGTTCTGCAACACCTCATTTAACAAAACTATCTTATCTGAAGCATTTGTCAGTGAAGTGTTTTAAGACGTGGGGCTCAGATGTCGGGCACTAGCCTTACAAACTGCAGGACCGTTTGGACTTTTTGCTAGAAATTGGGACTTCTGACTTGGTAAGCTTGCATGTATGCGTGCAACTGCCACTGATCCCACCGCGTTAAAGAATGGTAAGACAGGCCTGAAGAATTCAGACTGTTACCTGTGCATTTGGAAAAGAGGAAAGTTTCCTCTAGCACGACTAGAGCCCATGCTTCCTTAGTAGGTGCCTTGACAATTACACAGCAGGTAGCAGCTGGAATATTAGCTATATTCAAGTGTACCATTAGGTAAATCCTACAGTCGCGTCACCTCAGTTCTCCCTACACCATCCTGAAATTGTAACCTTGTTTAATTTAAATTTACCTAAAGATACAAAAATGACAATTCTTTACCACATCAGCATCTGATGAAGGCTAGGGGGACAGAAGGCGGATACAGCTTAGTACTTTGTCACTGCCATCCCTAACCCTATTCCACTCTGGACCTGCCAGGCATCCTACAGTTCCCAGCTTTTTACAGTCAAGACAGTGCAAGATCAAACTTGACATACTGCTCGCTGCACTGCATGCCAGAGTTTTACCCAGAAGACACATGAATAATTCTGCTTAGAGTCTCCTACAGACCTATCCTGTCACCAGTTTCCAAGCCTGCTTACCTTATGGTATGGAGGAGGTATGCACCCCAAACCTGAAGCGGGGAGAGCTGCACTTACTTGGGCTGAGCATGATGCTGATATCCAGGTCCAAGAGCTGATCCTGCCCTCATCTCCACCGCCACGGAACACTGAGAAGACACAGAAAATCGATTTCTATTGCTACCCCCCGCACCCAGCTATCAGCACTACCCCAAACTCTCATCCAGATCAAGCATGAGATGTCCCCCTCTTCTCTTTATAGCTTACTCTGGTTTCTACATCAGTCCATTCCGAGTCCGCAGCATCTGCGGGTGCGTCAGGATTGGCAGGTGATGATCTTCGCTTTCGACTGGAAGAAGAGTACATGGAAAAAAAAGTTACAAGTGTCACGTATTTTGGCAGATTCTCATACACAAGAGAATACATTTTATACTTTCTAAATAAATACTTTGCTCTAGGCAGCAGACCAGCCTTAAAAGCAGCTACAGTGTCTATAAGCCTCTCCAAGTTACTTTTATATGATTTCAAGTTAGATGCAACAACATTTTCTTCAATCTTTTGGACCAGAACCAGCTACTATTGGAGTTGCGTATCACCAACAGTTGTCTAAAATTAAGACAACTCACCCAGTTGGAGATTCTTGCTTCAGAGTCTCTATCTCTGTGAACTGCACAGCCTGTCCGCCACCCCTGGTTTTGAAAACGTCACCCTGGAAACCAAAAGCAGTTAACAAGGTACAGTCACTAGGTCAGTATGATGGCTACGGTGCCAGTTTTCACATGAAAAAACCACATTTCCTTGCAGGTCAGTAGCCAGCAAGGATACGCACACAAATACGCTCTCCTCCATTATATAGTTTTTCTTATTATACAGAGGACACTAAAGAGTGAACGCCATCTACCCTGATGATGATGCAAGATGCCCATAGTGCAGTCACTACCACAACAAAGATTTCTGTATGATAATGATGACCAAGTAACGCTACAGAAATCATGTCATAGGCTTAGTTTCAATAGTTCCATTCCACAGCACGAACAGGTATGTTGTCAGCTATGCAAGACTTTGCTTTTGAAAACATCGCCGGAACCTACAAGGTCACCTTACAGGAGTGAGAGCTTTTATAAAGCTCAAAAAGAAAAAAGACAATATTGGAAGGCCTGTGACGGTAGGAAAAAAAACCGAACCACAAGCTTCTTGCTACAAATTACAAAGAGGTCTCAGTTTGCCTTAGGTAAGTACAGTCAGCGTTTTGGGACACAAACATTGCAAGCGTTCAAAGCCTAGGCTGTCTCACCAATTTGTTTGTCAGTTGACTACTAGAAATTATGTCCTGGAGCACTTGAGCATCCACCACTACAGCAAGCTTACTCATACCGCTAGTGGAAATCCAATAACATCACTCCAACAAGACTGACTCCACAAGATTAGCTGCAGCCACAAGTCTAAGAAACTTTCACTACAAATGGATTATTGCATTTTACTAGAGGAAAAAAAAAAAAACAAACCAAACTTAATTACTTCCAAAGAAAACAAGACCGAGATAACCGAGCTTGTAATGGTTCATATGAAGTAATGACAAAGTTCAAGAAAAGTATTTTCAGACTCTAAAAGCTCCCTTGAATCCAACGGCACAAAACTTTCAAATCAAACCTCTTCTCAGATTGAGTCAAACGCGCCCTTTCGCAAGCCAGTAAGCCTGTAGCACAAATGCATTGCCAAAAATAGGTTTCATCGGGGTTATCACAAGTTTACGACGAAGGCGTTTGCTTTACCTTAATTAGTTTCGTTTCAATCTCGCCGTCAGAGGCTAGCTCCTGGTGCGTCAGCATATACTTGTCACACTTAGCTAGTGCCTTTTCACTTGCAGCCGCTACTGTGATGGCATGAGGGACATGCGGCTGCATGACCGTGTCAGTGGGCAGATTAGAAGGTGGCTTATGATCTACCCATCTCTCCCCAGCTGAGCGTGACCGTCTGTGTCTGAGACGAACTGGAGGTGCATTCTGATCAGAGTGGAAGAGAATCAGAAGAAATCAGCATGCGGTAAATCTCTCGGAGGATATCATTAGCAGAAGTGAACTTTGCAGGTCTGGTTAAGATGCGTTTGTATGAAGATCAAAGCTTTGTTCCTAAAGTGCTTTCAGACTGCATCCTGAAAGGCACCATTACCAAGAGCCTTGCATAAAACTATTAATGGATTATTTCTGTGCCAATTCCTATTTTTTTGTAAATTTTAGCTAAGCGTTATCCGATCTGTTGCATTCCATACCTAGTAAAATTTCCTCAGGGAGGACATCTTTATGTTTGGTAATGCTCCTCCTGAGTTTCCAAATCAAAACGGATTGCCATGAACACATTAACCAACCAGAAAAGAGAAACGTATGTTTCCATGGACACATTCATGGATCAAAATGTATTTCTGAGGTAGCAAAGCAAGCAGACCGAGTATGGATTTCCAACATCTCTAAAGGATCAAAGTCCTCATGACACTTCTGAGCAAACAGAGCAGAGGAAGCGTCCCCTGTCCTAGTGCTGTCGCTTCTGGACTCAGCTGTTGGAAACCCATGAGAAGCGATTGAAGTTCATATATTTTTATTTTATGAACATGAACGTTATTGACAGTTGCTCAGGGAAATCAGAAAATATCTAGAAACTTGTTTAAAAAAACCTGGGTGCCTTCAAGATCTTTGAATGGGCTTTTGAAGGAGTATTTACAGACTCTCTCCGTTCCATTCACACAATCATTTTAGAGAACTCTGAATCATGGTGAGGTTACACAACCCAAACCTATGAATGCAAACAGTATCCACTGTATTTTCAGGTGATGAGCATCAGTTAGGATTTCTTTGACTAATAGACACGAGATCGGCTGTACCCCTTACAGATAAACCTCTTACAAGTCTAAAGCAGCTCTTAAAAATTAAAATTATATAGGGAAATGTGGCTTTTGGCAAAAACCTTCCATTAAAATTAAAAAAAGAAAAAAGGAAAGAAAAAAGAGAATTTCAAGACTTCCCCTCCCCTTTTAGTGTGCAAGTACTTATTCCCATTGATGTGGTTTTTTTAAACAATTCTGCCAAGGTGCCTTCGAAGTTATGTTCCAAGGAGAGGGTACACTACTACTGGTCACGTTTTACTGCGGCAGAGACCACATCCCTTACTCTGCTGGCAGTGGTTCGTGTATTAATTGGAATAGCACTTGCTTAAAAGCATGCCCCTGACTTCAAAGAGCCAGCAAGGAACAGAAATTTTGAGAACGCCATCAAAAATGAATCACACCACGCTAAACTTTCCTCCTCTCGAGAAGCTCTCTCAAGAAGCTGGGTTTGTACAATTCTCTTTGATTTACCTGAGCCACTGAGGCAGTGCTATAGCGCAACAGAGACCCCACCGACACAAACATTTGCATGCAGCAGTTTAATGAGGAGGAAAAAAACCCCAAGTCTCCCACCTGTAAGCAAAGCCCCCAGTTTTAATGCAGATGTGCAAATTAGGGAAGACTATTCTAAGAGAGTTGAAGTTAACAGTCACACAAGCGAGATGTTTGTCCGAGCACTATTTCCAGTAGACATTTGCGGATACGTCTTGTAAGACCACCTTTTAAGCTGCCCAAACAGACTATGGTAAATTGCAGGCTGCAAGATAGATTTGAGGAGACAGACACAAGTTAAAACACAAGGACATTCACAGCTAGAGAAAAGGTCTAGCTAGTTAGGAGCTCCTTACAAGAGCTATCTATGCGCTAGCAAGAGATACACAGGCTTTTAAGGAGTTTTTAAACGTCAAGTTAAGAAGTCAAACAGGAGGAGTAGTGAGACTCAACTCGGAAACAGTACTGTTCTACGAGAAACACGTTTAGGGGAAAACTCCAGTCTGTGTTAGGTGTGCTCAGGGTAAGAGAGCGGTTGTAATGAGCTTTTGAGCCAGACTAAGCAACACTACGTTTAGCTTTTGACAGGAGCAGCACTAACCCTGCAGCATTGATCCTCTTCTATTTCTAGCTCATCTCTACGGCTGGGAACCTCAATGACTCCAGTCCAGCACATCCCTCGCCTTCTGCCTGGGGTGTTACAGTCTCTACTTTGTTCTGGTTCTTGTTTTCTACTCCTTGCATTAGAAGTGCCACTGGTATGCTTGTGCGAAGGGGTTTTCTGCTCCCATTCCATAACACAGGATGCCACAGAAATGCTGCTACAAGAATTAGAACGTCTGTGCACCTGCGGGTTGCTCACGAGCCGCTGGCTGTTAGGGACCTGAGCGATACAGTTACTAGAAGGCTAGAGAGAATGGGAAAGAAGTTAGTGAACATACAGAACCGTCAACTTATCAGGCAATAAAACAATCAATACTGACAACGTGCAGCGTGATAAATCAGCTAGTCAAGCTTATGGTTTTGGATAGGTATTGTACTGCAGTGACAGCATTAAGCATCAGGTATTCTTCCAATACCAGCAGCATAAGAAGGTAGGAGCACAAATAAAGAGCGCTGATAAATACAACAGGAGACGAAGAATTCGAAGCAAGTTTAAGTTATCCAAGTTCTGTGCTTGGGAACTGTTTTCTAGCCACTAAAGAGAACTGGCCTGCACTTTAGTTCATTCTTATAAATATGCTTTTCCCCTATATCAAGAAGTGTGTTAAAGGCAACTTACAGGTACTGGTGGAGGAGACACTGATCTCTGAACAGGCTTCTCTCTGTCTCTCTCCCGCGAAGGCCTCTCTGGCTTTTCATTTTTTGGTTCAGTAACAATGGCCTTCAGTTGCTTCAGTTTTTCATCTTTGACCCAAAGTTTGTTCTGCATTTCCAGCTGCTTTGCCGCTACACGGCGCTCCTATGAAGACAAGTGAGGAAAAGCGTGAAATACCTTACACAGAAGCACAAGTAATTGTGCTGAAAGTTTGAAGGGAATTGCATATTCCACATGGAATGAAGCTCTTCCTCACTGAGATACAAGCTATTGGAAATAATGACATATCAAGCTAAAGAAAGGCTTTCCAGATTTTAAAACAGTACCATGTTTACTGCTGTAATAATCTTGCTTCCTAAATTATGACAAATGGGAGCATGTCTAACCATAGTTCTATCAATGGTCCTGAAGTAATAAACAGTCCTCCAGTAGTAAAAATTAATCCCTTGGATTTCCTTTCCTTATTGCTTGTCAAGTGCATATCTGAGCAAAAGTTTACATGAGGAGAAAGGGAAAACCCCGACATTAGGCTTTTACGGACAACCGTCAGGACAAGAAAATCACTCAGAGTGCCACAAACCCAAAAGAACAAATTCTAGGTATTGAAATGAAGTGACACAGTGCTCAAGAGAGCTGCTCTAGCTGCATCAGAAGTCCTCGAGGAATTTATTATATCGTACTACATTTATAAAAGTTAAGTTCCAAATGTCTGTCCAAGTCCATAATTAAAAGCCAAACACATCTCCATTCTTACTGCTACACCGCTATATAAAACACCCCACAAAAACAAGCCGCCCAGCTCCCCCCAGCATCGCTCTATTACATATTTCTAACAGATACAGTAGTGGACTTACACACTCTT